GTTTGCACATTTGTGTGGGGATGCCTGGTTACCTTAGAATACAAAAATGTCATATCTGAAATCCTACAAGTAATTTTTTAATAATTACACATCACAATGTTTACTATTCCACTATAGACTTAGCCAGAAATTGGTTTCATATAAGTATGTCTCATCAGCAAATTTGTGGCTTCTCGTAATACAAAAGACATAATAAATTGTCTAACAAGTCCTGTGCACAAAATACAAGAGAAGTTGGAATAGACTGAAGTAAAAGTGAAGATCTAGCAATGAATTTGTTTCCCCAAACTTTAGGTAGTAAAATCATATAGAACTAATTAATTGGTCATGAAGTAATTGTTGAATTATTTGTCCAAAAAAAAAAAAAAATGCTGTAAATTTGATGATGCAAAAAAACACATTACCCTTCTTCAGTATCGCCTCGCATTTGCTCATATATCTTATTGACTGTATGATGAGAAACTTTCTACCAGTAACAGCAGTTTTTTTAAGCTTTCTGTCTGTTTTATTTTGTACAGCAACGGGAAAACAGGCAGGAGAGGAGGCAAAATGGGATGGTAAACCAGAGATTCACGCCTCAGTCCAGCTGTTTGTCTGGAAGTTCACTCACTGTCTGTTGTTGCTATATTCTGCTTTCCAGTGTTTCTGTTGTGTTATATGCATTTCCATTTGAGATTAAACCACAAAGGCTCAGCGACATGCGCTGCAAAAGAGATTACTCATATGGGATTAGGAAGCATGCTAATCTTAATCTCATTTCTTGTAAGTGATCATCTTTGTTGATTTTTATCTGTGCCAGCATTCAGCATTTCCTGTCCTGCTTGTTTGAGATGTGCACAGTTGCTATCAACAGCTACACATAATACTTCAGAAGTTACATTTTACATCCACAAAACACTGGTCACAACACTGGGGACATTTTCATTTTATGGTTTTGCTTCTCTTTCTCTCCCCCGAAGCAACCTTCTGGAAGAGAAAGTGCACCTCCATTCACATGGAAATCACTCACCTCCTAGTCTTTGCTTCCTTTTTTGAGAGTATAATGAAGTGATCCTACTCAGGTTCACACATTTACAACTCCTTTTGCATGACTGCATAATTAAGCGGCTGTTGTTTTCCTAGACTGAGACAGTCACTTACTTGGAACTATGTTGCCAATGAGCTTTGTTCTCAAATGTGTTCCTGGTCTTTATTTACAGTGTTGTGAAGAATTAGAAGGCTTCTGTTTTCGCATATTTTTCACACTTTAATGTTCCAGATCATCAAAGCAATAAAGAAATAACCCACAAAACACATGAGGTAACAATTAAAACGATTGAAAACCTGTATCACCACTGTGGAAAAAGTAATTGCCTGCCCCCCCTTAACCCAACAACTGGTTGGACCACTCTCGGCAACAACAACTGCAGTTTAATGTATAGCTTGTGATCAGTCTTTTACATGGAGGAGTTTTGGCCCACTCTTTTTAGCTCAGCCACATCAAATAGTTGTTGATCATCAACTGTCCTTTTAAGGTCTTGCCACAGCATTTCAGTTGATTGGATTAAAGTCTGGACTTTGACTCGGCCACTTTAAAACCTTGATTTCGTTTAGATTTATCAAGTCTGGCAGTGATCATATGCGGGTGTGGCTGGTGAAACTGAACCCAACTGCTAAATGAGTTTGGCCATTTGGTAGATTGGTGGGTAAGGGTGCAATTACTTTTTCAAATGGAGCAAGGTGGGGCTGGACAGCATTTTCCCTTCAATGAATGAAATCATCATATAAAAACTGCATTTTGTGTTTTCCAGGGTTATCTTTGTCTTACATTAAATTAGTTTGATGATGTGAAACATTTAAATGTGATAAATATGCAAAAATACAAGATGTCTGTACTGGGCAAATACGTTTCACAGCATTGTACATTGTGTCTGAAGAAAACAATAATTTTAAAATGAGATTAATAATATGACATCATATTAGCAAAAAAAATAAAAAAAGGATTACACTGATCTTAAAATTATTTTTTAGATGACAAATAGTTCTCATCTAAAATGATTCATCTCTAATTTATAGCACATCACATGAAATTGACTGTGTTCTGCAAACACCAACAGCACATGCAGCAATGTCCTTTTCGAGAACGAAAGCAGTAAACTTTTTAACAAAACTGTTTTTTAGATACAAACCGAGGTGGTCTGTTTTCTTTACTTTATTGTCAAGTAATGTGACAGTTGTATATTGATATGTACTAATAATACTGCCTCCTACTAGGGCTGCCTATCCTAAAAAAATGCAGTCATAAAAATTAACAAAATGGAAGAAGAATATTGGGTAATGGCTTTTTTTTCCCTCTAAGAAATAACTTAATAATACTGTTAGAAAAGTGGAAAAAGAAGAGTTAGAGATGTGCAGTAATAAGAAGACACAATGGAAAATCCAACAGTTTTTTTTTTTTGGTACAGGCTTTGTAAAGCAAACAATAACACATTAGGATGCAAATTAAAAAGCTGTGAATGGAAAACTCAGCATGCTTGTGCAAAATACTGTGACAATTTCATGAAAACAGATAATGTGAGTCACTGTGTTGACATAGTAAATGTGTGGGGACAAACTTTCAGAGAGAATGTGATGTTCAAGCCATATCAGCATTACTGAATAGGAACCTTAAATGCACAGTGTCCTTCTGTATCCAAACACTGCTGCTTACATCAGTTGTCAAAGGAACTGCTGTTGCTAAGGAAGGCTTGTTGGCCACAATGAGAGAAAGTGAATAGACTGAGGCAGAGTCCTAGATATACAGAGTTATGCAAACACTTCAACCACACAAAATACAGAAGAAAATGTTTAATTTGCTGCAGTCTATTTATGACTAGAGGTTTAAGCAAACGGCATAAAAGCAATCTGTGATCCTGGAGTTTGGCCGTCAAAACTGAACCAGTTTACTGTAGGACTGTAAAACTCTATGACTCAGGGCCGTGGTGTAGTGAAGGGGACGCTTCCTTGGCAACCATTTCTGGACTGATTGTCATCATGTGACAAGATGATGCAGTCAGAAAAACAGAGAGAGGGAGACAGAGAGTGTGTGAGAGAGAGAGCAACACTGATGAGTCAGAGGAGGCTGATTCTGACGTAATCCTCTAACTGCTCCCTCCCTCCAGCTCCCCTGCCTGCATGGCTGCTTCTGGGTGTTCAAGTCAGACCCCAGTTTCCCAGAAAAACAGGAATGTTGTTGGAAACTTGTTTTGTTTAACTAATTCACACTCCTATCTGTAATTGTATTCTGGGCCTTTCCCCCTCAAAATTTAAATTCTTGCTTGTCAATATGGCAGTTAAAAATATACACATGGCCATTCTTTGTAGACACTGTAATGCACAATTCATTGTATTAGTCAGAACTGAATTAAAGATATCTAAAAATCCTTTAGAAGTATAAGTGCTAATTTAACAGCTTCAGTGGATGTGTATTACATATATATAAGAGTTCTATCTATTCAAAAGGAACATTTAACAATTCCACAATGGTGATTTTTCTTGTCATTTTATCATTTCAGATGTACACAATGTCACTGTTACAAATGATGTCGCTTCTGTCATTGGTGTGATTTCACAGTTTTACTTTTGATAGTAAAAATGAACCATCCAATTTAATATATCCAAAATTCCATTGTTATTAGTCATAATTTATATATATTTCTACATCTGTGTCATCTATCAAGATATGAATAAGTCTGTGATATGTATTCATGCATACAGTACAATCTGTGTTTTTTATGTGTAGATTCCTTCCCACAAATGTTCAACTCAATAACACAAACATTTATATGTACAAATATTCTCTAAACAGACCTGGGTCATATGACTGACAGCCCTGCAAAATCAACCACCCTGAGCTCAGCAGTGCAATGAAAATTATTGAGGTTCATAATGACAAATTCAACACTTAACAGTTTATGCAGTTTGTCTCTCGGTCAGATTTCAGTAACAGCTGTGCACTGTACATCAGTCAGAGCTCAATGCTGCTCTGTGTTAGTGAGCAGACACCTGCAAATAAAGAATACCATACTGTCCCTCCATTTTGAATGACTGCAATTTAAATGTTTCCCCAAGCATTGAATTTTGTTATATAGCCAATGCTGTTATGCATCTCCACATCACCATTAAAAATACAGAGCTGTCACGTAATAACTTCAAGGTAACATGAAACGAATAATGTTGACTCTGAGTTCATCAGGAACAGTCTTTTCAATTAAGCTTATTCATTGTTTTTTTTTTATTTTTTTTTTAAGGTGAACAAGATTTGTATTTAAGAGTAGAAATAAGCAGGTTAATGGGCACATTTGACATCCTGCCATGGTGTTGTCTAAGTAAATTTGCTTTCTTAGATGTCACTCACACAAGTAGTCGACGTCATACGGTTGATTAAAGGCAGAAATTGAGCAAATAGAGAACAATGGAACTATATAGCTTTAAATGTCATTTAGAGTCACTGAACTATGTCTTATTCAGTGAAAATTAGTTTTCAGGGTCTTTATTCCTAAAGTTTCTAAAAATGGTTAATTGGAAACTGGTGCTGTGATTCCCATTGTCACATGTAACAACAGCTTTTTTTTTCTATTTCTTGATTGCCTCCTGACTATGTAGTGATTTAAATGATTCTTAATTATTTATGGAAAACTTTCTGTGAGTTATGTCTTTAGGAGAGGGCAGGGAAAGTTCATTTGAATAGCATAATTTCATCCACAAAAACGATTCGAAGTTTTTTTTTCTGGAATAGTCAAATAAAAAAATAATCTGCTCTGTAAAGCCTTGTTGATCAAAAGCATGATGCACAAATCCTGATGCTTCTGTTTATCCACTTCTTCGTGCCTAAATCTGGTTACTTCACTCATCAGTTCCTCCGCAGCCGAATCCCACCTCCTTTCCAGGGAACACGCAGCATTTGTCATTAAAAAAAAAAAACTGCTCTTAGATCAGCCTTAGTGCATTGTTGGTAGTACGTCTTCAGGGGATGTACGCATGCGCAGTGCTTCATGTTGCAACACAGACAGATCGACTGCAATCGTCATCTGGAGAAAACAGACGTTTCTGTCGGCCTTCAGACAAACTGAGACACATGAGCTGTGGATTATTGCGGTCGTACACGGATTACAGTTGAAGAAGTTCGGGAAACAGCACAATCAATAATACCGCAATCGGTTTTTGTCACGTGGTCAAGCCTGACCAATCGGAGCGATCCAAATCCAGCGGAAAGTATGTCCTTTGTTCGGATATTTGGTCAACTTTATCCTCTAATGTGAGCCTATTACTGTGTATAGATCACAGGATGTGGATATGGAGGTGGCGTTTTTATGACAAGGGACGCGCTTTGGATACGTTTTATTGCGGGTTTTGCGGAATGCCACGTGTTCAAGTTTGATGAACAGGCTTATTTCATCACATGACTCCCCTCCCCCACCCAGCGCAGGGAATGGGGGAAGAAGGCGGACATGTTTGAGGGAAATGTGTTGGTTAAAAAGTATCGAGGTGGAAGACAAGAAGATTATATGAAGAAAGGTTTCGCATTACTTTGATTGGATTTACCATTCGACATTTGTATTCATTTTAACTCAAGACTTTGATGTCATACTTTGAAAATATTTCTTTTTGTTTTAGATAATTTAACTGTCCATTTTTCAAAATAATATAGAGATGTATAATTTGTGTTTTTACAACGTTAGTCAAAACTTTCGTAACATTTACTACTGTGAGGATCTAGTGTTACTAAACATGGTTTATTTGAGTGACATTGTAGGGAATTTGTAACCTTGGTGTGGGGGATGGGCGCCAGTGGTTAGGTAACCATTTTGTGTGCTTGTTGAGTTTCGGTCTCGGTTTTTAAAGTGTTTTTGTCAAAGTTTGTTAATTTGTTAATTTTCTTAGCTGTTTTTCTTTATGTTTTTGGATTGAATTCATTTTGTAGACTCACAAAGGCCAGGTATGTTTTTTTTGTATTTTAAACTATAATATGAATCGTATTTTATTGCGTTTTGCCGAATTTGGTAATATGATTGTGCAATGGTTTTGGTTGGACCTATTTTTTTTGTTTAAATGTAGTCTTTAGGTTCCTAAGAAAAAAACAAAAAAACTGCTGTGTCATTCAGGGGATAGTTGGCAGCTTCTGTGACTGCTAGGTGTGGTCTTTTTGGTGGTGGTTACTGGGTTTTTATTGTGCGTTACATTAAATGCGGCCTACAAGCGTCACCATTTTACATTAAGTTAAACTTTAGACTTTATCCATGTCCTTTGACTACTTTACAGTTAGTGGGCCAGGAAGGCCTTGTCTGTCTGGCATTGTTTTCGAATGGTGGTCTCTCCCAGCAGCAGATCACGGCTAATCACTTTGGTGAGTGTTAGTAAGCGAAATATGAAGCATTTTGAATGTTTTGCTCTATGTTTTGGCTTGTTGGTTGTGAATAATTCGGTTATAATACACGCTGTCTCAGTGCTTCAAGATGGCGACCGTGCGCCTCTCGTGAAAGGCAGAAATGCGGATATTCTGGTAAGCAGAGAGCTCGTGGGGAGAGGCTGTTGTCTCTTCTTGGGTCCGCGTGACTGATTGGAAGAACCAATCAGCTTCCTGGTATTTGCACTGGAAGCCCGCGTTACAGCGGTTTAGACCAATCCCCGTCGTCGCCTTGCACACGTTGACGTAATGTAATATGATAAAGAGCGAGGTGGCTTCGTTGCCCTCGTTTTTTCTGGAGGATTATATGGCGGAGCCAGTTACAGGCAGCATATCTATAATACAGGAGAGGCAGGGCCAATAGTATTGTGCAGTTTCCTTGACGGACAGAAAGAACATGCGAATAGGTTGGTCCGAAAGACGGGCGGTGGAGTTTCAGTGTGGAGGGGTGCGGTAAGTTTGAAAGACGTCGTAAGCAGCCAATAGAAACTCGAAGGGCGGGGACTTTCCGAGGCAGTCCATCCAATAGGGTGAGTGGTTGGTCTATAAAGACCCGGGTGTAGTCGCATCGTCGCCATTTCAACGAAGCATAGTAGAAGGAGTTTGCCGTGGCGGGGAGCGGAGACAACTGACCCAACAGAGACGGATCCTGGTTTGAGTCTAGCTAAAAACAGAATCCGGATCCATCCTGATGGATATGGCTGTTAACCCGCCCCTTGACAGGTATCTACTGGTAAAATTGACTCTCAGCTTTCCATCCGAGGAAATATTTGAAACAATTGTCATTATTTTTTTCCAAATATCGATGCTGGCAGCTTGTGTTTGCTGAAAAACCATTGGAAGAGAGAAATGGACGTTGAATATGCCACACGAAGGAGCTCATCGTGTCGTAGCAGGGATTAGAAGCGACTTTTATTTAGTGTACTGATATTTTTGTGGTTTCTAACGAGCTGCGACTGTTGATCGCGCTACGCCGGCGCCATCTTCGGAGCGCTTTTGCCGTTGGCCGCTCTCTCCCGCTGCCTGGCAGTTGGTGTTAGCATTGCTAGCATTAGCTTAACAGACCAAAGCCTTGCTCAAGACGTATGTGATGGTAGGTCGTCTACTGTTTGGTACGGAAATCGGCATACCTTGTTTATGTCAGCTTGTGTTTTGGTCTGATCTGGCGAAAGGAGAAGAATTTGAAACACAATGTCGTTAGGTTGATTTCTGTCGGCTCTTTTTTTCGGGTGGCTGCACCACCATAGAATAACACAAGCTGAGCAAAATCAGTGTTGTAAATACGTAAAAATGGCAGAAGACCATTGCCACACCGGTATTTGTGCTTGTTTCGCCGGTTTGTTGTTGTAGCCATGTGACGGTCAGGGGTTGTTGTCATCACAGGTACGACATTGCGTTGTAGCATTACGGCTAGCTCCGCTGCTTAGCTAGTTGCACCGTTAATGCATGAATGATCAAATACAAAGACGGGTACAGCAGACATATTCGATGTTGTCTGTTCTAAATTTTAAGAGCAGAGTAGACACAGCGAAAAATTTTATAGCGCCCGTTAAAGGCCCGGCTACCCATGTGTGTTGGCTGTTTCAGTCGGTTGCCTGGTTACAGTGTGCAGTGTCACTCAACCCAGACAAGGTAGCAGCTTTCATTGTGGTAAAAATCACACACAGGATTTTATTTAGGTTTTGCCACTGTACTCTTTTAGAACCTTTTATTTTATTTTATTCCTTATTTTCATTTTAATGGGCAGCTATCTCGTTCTCTTCCAATTTTACAGCTAACTTTATTTTTGTTTAGTGTTGTTAATATTATGTACATGATTACTTTCCCTTTTTTAATAATAAAGTACACTAACTGTCAAATGTGTTTCCAAAAGTTGTATCATTCAAGAAAACTTGCTTTACCATAAGCAAAACATTGTATGTTTTTTTTTTCATTTTTAGCTTGTAGTCCTGTCATACTACACATACAAAAATACTTTCTATGCTAATAATGATAGTTACCACTGTTTAGCATATTATACTTGTGTAGAGTGGGTCAGTACTCGTATATGCCAAGGATATGTTGTTATGCTGACACCTACCTAAACCCAAAATGGTTATAGCATGATGCAAGCAAAGTAATACTATTTGCATCAGTTGCTTCAAGGTCACACATACACCCCTAATGTGCAAACAAACCTATTTCATGTTTTGCATATAAACAGAAGGGCACACAGTGTCCAAAGGTGCCGATCCTTATTGTAATTTTTTTGCACCTAAAATGTCAGTGAGCGAGTGAAGATGGGTTACGGTGAGTTAATGCAGTTGCTGATGGAGAGGAAGGACACTTTGATACACTGAAAGCAAAGTTGGCTGTGCCGGTTTTTTCCATCTAATATATGCATTAGTTTCCATTTATGCAGAATTATGCCTCCACCAACAGGTAACTGGTTATCACGCAAGCAGTCTCATAATGTCAGGCATCATTGAATGTTTGTAGCATTCTAGCGATTCTAGTCAAGTTATAAATGGAATATCCCACAGTGTAGCATCAAGGCATATTTTCAGGACTTTTTTTTTCTTGTTTAAATTATAGTTAGGTATTCAGGACAAGCAGACTGCAAGAAATTTTTGCATTGGTGACCGACAGTATTTGTCAGTGTTCAGTTGCCTGCTACATTGCACAGAATGCATCTTAACTCCAGTGTCTGTACTGATTCGATTACCTGTGGCTGTCACACATGGCTGAATGTAGCTCTTGTGTTGGACAGAGGTAAGGGTATTGTTTGCTGTTTGCACCTGTGGACATGATTAAAGATACATGTGGAGGTACAATGGTAAGTCAGGTCAACACTGTGTTTAAAAAAAGAAAAAGACCGTCATCCTAGGCATGAAGAGAAGTGCTGCTTATCCTCCCTAATAACAGGGTCTCAGAAAAGACCAGGTAACCTTGGCGAGAACTGTCTTTTTTTTTTTATTCAACTGTGGTCTTAAGATGTGGCAACTGTAACTGAGAGGCTGTCCATCTGCTGATTCTAGCTAATGAAACCACATTTCTGTATACAGGGCAGACCAACAGCAGCTCATCTCATTCTGAAGAGCAAGTGTCTTGTCCTGGGAAAACTAACTGTAACTTACAGTAACTTACAGTGCTAATATCACAAGTGTATGTGTTCAACACTATAAACACTGGATGTTTACTTTGACATTCTGGGGTCAGCAGCATGTCTAATGAGTGACTGGTAGTAAACCAGTTTCAGGTAATAATGTACATTTCTGGCCAGTGAAGGCATTTATGTTAGAAAACTCTGGAATAGTCCAGTCATTAATGTAACATGGCAGCTGAAACTCCACCCACAATCCTTTGGGAGAGTTTTTTTTTTTTTACATGGCAATGGGGGTGGAGCTTGAGTGTGTAATTGGTGAGATGGACAGACATACAGAGGAGGAAGTGGGAGTCATGCCTGTAATGGGACTGGGAATGCTGATTTGTCAGAAGTATCTTTCAAGTCAGACTGATGTATGCTTGCTGAGTAATGTTTAGCCTGTGTGACTGACTGTCGGTGCCTTACGAATGGGATTTACTGAATGCTTATTAGTGTGTAGTATGGTAAGCAGGATTCATTGGGATAGGATAGATATTAGATATTATAATAGATATTGAATTTCCCTACTGGGATAAATAAAGTATTTTTCATTTCATTTCATAGCTTGTTTATGTCAACAAGGGAACACAACATGATTATTCATATTAATTCCAGGATTTATGGGACAGACAATTAAGTGTAATTGTTTTTGTCAATATTGGGAGACAAATACTATTTGCACTTTAACTCTACTTAGTTGGTGCATGTAATACAGGAGGCACATCTATCCTTTAAAAAGCAAAAAACAAGTTTTAATTTTGCTTCACATAACATCTCTTGTTAACATATACAGAGTTTTGGATGCCTTTACCTTCTGCAGTTCCTGGTCTTAAAGCGTCACAATTGATATAGTGGTCGTTAAGTCAGCAATTCAATAATTTTAACTGATGTAGGGAACTAACCATGTACAGCATGGGAGAGGAGTAAATGTATGCTGCTTTGCAGATGTTGGTCTTTGCATTATTCCAGGGACTTGTTCCAAAATATTGTATAGATTTTTTTGTTTATTTTTTGTTTCAACTGTGCTTTCCACAGCTCCCATGTCGGGGTTGAGGTTGGCATGTTGGGAGTCACAATGGACCATGGCTCTGGTGCAGCTGGAAAACGCATCCGAAAACCTTCACTGCTGTATGAGGGCTTTGAGAGTCCCGGGATGCCACCTCTGACTCATATGGTTCCTTCGGGGCCCCCACAGCCGCCAGTGAAAGACCCCAGCCGGCAGGGGAGGATGACCAACCAACTTCAGTTCCTACAGAAAGTCCTGCTCAAGTCTTTGTGGAGGCACCACTTTGCCTGGCCCTTCCATGAACCTGTAGATGCCGTCAAGCTCAGCCTGCCTGTGAGTGTGACTGTCAAGAGATCAGACCTTATCCATTATTTGTGTAGAGTAAGGATTGTTATTTTTAGAGACATCATTCTTTTCCACAGAGCCAAATGTTGGCTAACTCAGTTTTACCAGTGTGTCTCCCTGCTTAGGGTCAGAGGGTAAAACAGAAGCTATATTATGTTGATGACAGGTTTTAGTTTGACTCTGAATGTCTTTTCCATTCCAAGTAATTATGGGATGTAGTGCACAATTGTTTCTTGTCCTGAAAATGTTTCTGTCTCCACAGGACTACCATAAGATCATCAAAAATCCCATGGATATGGGCACTATCAAAAAGAGGTTAGAAAACAACTACTACCGCAGTGCCAGTGAGTGCATGCAGGACTTCAACACCATGTTTACCAATTGCTACATTTATAACAAGGTAAGCCTTGGTTTGCATGTGTGTTAGAGATATTGTGAGTCTGACATTATTGTAGCATCATCATATCATGCCAACTTGAAGCATGTGACAGATGCATTCTTTTTCCTAAACATTTCAAATGCAAAATGTAATGAAAATGCTGCCATCATTTTGTAAAATATAAAGAAGTATAGATTAAAATTGCCCTTTTTACTTGTGATATTGTTGGTTTTATGAAGTATATTAATTGCTTCAGTTGATTAAAACTTGATCTGTCAGCTGTTGTAACCATTTTGTCCCCATTTCCTCCTTTGCAGCCAACAGATGACATAGTACTGATGGCTCAGTCTCTGGAGAAGGCGTTTCTGCAGAAAGTTGCTCAGATGCCCCAGGATGAGTTAGAACTGCCCCCTCCTCCTCCACGGAGCAAAACAGTAAAACCTGGCAGGAAAGGCAGAAGTAATACAGGTGAGCATGAGCTGCAGACTCACATGTTAAGTCTGCAATCATCATATCTACAGTATATGCAGATTATTTTTAAAATTAAAATCAAGTTTATATGATTATATGAACTCAAATTAGTTTGTTAAATGATTATTTTTTGTTCCTCCTTTTTTTTCTCTCTCTCAGTCTCTGGAGGAATCACAACAGCTCATCAAGTTCCAGCTGTCTCCCAGTCAGCGTACTCACCTCCCACCCCGGAGACACCTGACTCAATCCTCTCTACCCCTCCACAGACTCTTTTGACCAAGAGCCTGCCCCCTATACTTCCACCTGAGCAGAGCATCCCCACTATTACGGGTCTGCCTCCCACACAGCCCACTGCTAAGGTACTGATCAACATTTGTCATTGTGTCATTGAGTCACAAAGTCACAAAGACCTCAGACAAAGTATGCCTCTCTGACCCACACTTCCCTTCTCTTCTATTCAATTACAGAAAAAAGGTGTGAAGCGGAAAGCAGACACAACCACCCCAACCACTGTAGCCATGCCCATTATGAGCACTATGGGTGTCAGTGGCATAAGCCTAGGGATGGGAGGTGGGCACGACTCCCCGCTCACCCTCACGTCTCTTGGGGTGGACCACAACTCCACCATGGGGATGAACCCAGGCCTCGCCCTGGGCCAGGGCATGGGGATGGGAATGGGCATGGGCATGGGGATGGGCCGTGGAGCAATGATTATGGGTTCCAAAGCAACAGCGGCGAGCAGGAGAGGAGTAAGTGGACGACCCATCAAGCCACCTAAGAAGGATTTACCAGATTCCATTCTGCCACCTCCAGTGCGCCGCAGCAAGCTGAGCCCGCAGCTGCGCTACTGCAACGGAGTCCTGAAGGAGCTGTTGTCCAAGAAGCACGCAGCATACGCCTGGCCATTTTACAAGCCTGTCGATGCCTCGTCACTCGGCCTTCATGACTACCATGACATCATTAAGCAGCCCATGGACCTCAGTACTATCAAGGTACTTGTCTTGTGGATACATGCACAGCTGTCTGTATATGTTAGAACAGACGAGCAGGATGGTAACAGCTTTCTAGTTCTGCTGCAACGAATTGCAGTTACAGGACTAACTCTGTGTCATATGGTTGTTTTATGGACCCTTTTTAAACCACATGTTGCACTTTGTACTAAAGGGTTTAACTATTTAAAAGGAAAGTTGGATGAGAAGTGTATGTAATTGATCAGTTACTGTGATGTATGAGTGTACTTCAGAAAAATTCTCTGCCTCATCTGGAAACAAAGGACATAACTCCCATTTTGGGGCAAACCTGTATACTATGCAGCCTTACATCACTGTCCACAAACACTTAAATATTTTAAGCAATCAAAGAAAAAAGGAAAGGAAAGCTTTGAGATGGCGTGCTGTTGCTCCAGAACAATGAGCCCATCCACACAGCATAGGTGGCAGAAGCAGCTGAACATGGTTTTATACTGTTTCCTCATGCACCTTACTCACCAACCAGAACCGTCTTCTTCCTCTCTGTTTTGTAAACTGAAATCCCACTTGTATGGTCTCAGTTTTTAGTGACCATGAAGTCATCTTTGCTTTTAAGTATCTGGGAGCTCAAGGTGTGACCTTCTTTCACACATCGGTGGATCAAGTACATTTAAATTAAAGGAGTTGAAAAATGATGCACGAACAATCTTTCTCCTGTGACATTTTGTGGGAGGTAGATAACTATTTGTAGTACCCTCGTACATCCTATACAGCCCTCTTTGACTTTTTCTGTGATTGAAAATGAGGTTTCATCCTGATATATGACCAGATAGTAATTTTTATGTGCCATTTACTTAAAAGGTTCAGTTACAGCTGACAGTGGGGCTGATATATTTTACTTTATTTTTTTAGGTTATTTATTCATCTAAAATCAGTTGTTCTGTTGTTTTCTTTAGCTGAAGATGGACAGCAGAGAGTATCGTGACTCCCAGCAGTTCTCTGCTGATGTTCGACTGATGTTCTCCAACTGCTACAAGTACAACCCCCCAGATCACGATGTGGTGGCCATGGCTAGAAAACTTCAGGTATTGTAGTTGTTTAATTGATGTGATTTAGAATTATTGTAGTTTTGGAATCATCATAATTAAACTCCACAGTTCTTAATTCCTTTCATTCATCCTCCTGCATTAAATCATTACAGTGTTCTTGTTTTTTAAATTGCTTGACTCACACACTGTTTCCTCCGTCTAGGATGTGTTTGAGTTCTGCTTTGCTAAGATGCCAGACGAGCCTCCAGCACCACCCAGCTCCTCATCTTCCTCCTCCTCCTCCTCGTCCTCATCTGAGAGCGAGCTGAGCAGTGAAAGCGAGGAGAGCGAGAGCAGCCCCAGCTCCGACTCTGAGGAGGAGAGGGCAAACCGGCTGGCAGAGCTGCAGGAACAGGTTTGCACTAACACACATCAGAGCAGCAATCAAGAAAGAAGTTCACTTCCAAGCTGTTGGTGGCACTAACGTAATGTGCTAATTTTGCCGTGGCTTTTCTGTTTTTTTCTGTCTCCCTTCAGCTAAAAGCTGTACACGAGCAGCTCACGGCACTCTCCCAGGGCCCCATTGTAAAACCCAAGAAAAAGAAAGAGAAGAAGGACAAGAAAAAGAAGAAGAAAGTAGAAAAAGAGAAGCATCGGAGGATAGAGGAGGAGCTACCGCCTATTAAGCCGCCCAAGGCCCCCAAAATCACCAAGACTCCAAAACCTAAGAGCAACCGAGGAGTGAGCTGTCCGGTAATGCCGATTAAGAAAGCTCCGAGCAAGAAGAACAACAAGAGCAAGTGAGTAGTGACATCTATTGGACAGTGTAGGAACTGATAGTATGAGGTTCATGCTGAAAAGTTCTTTGTTTGGATGTTACTGAAATCTAAAATAAGTATCTGTTAGATTACATTATTCATATAATGTGATGTCAGCTTTGTGAACAGACTTTCCCAAAGCCATCTGCTAACAGTTTCTCTTGTATCTCACCAGATCCAAAAAGGGCGGCATGATGTTTAACGTGCCTCAGCCGGTCCACGAGCCCATCGTGAGCCATTTTGACTCAGACGAAGAGGAGGAGACGGCACCCATGTCGTACGATGAGAAGCGTCAGCTCAGCCTGGACATCAACAAGCTGCCCGGTGAGAAGCTGGGCCGAGTCGTTTACATCATCCAGTCCCGCGAACCGTCGCTGCGAGACACCAACCCCGAGGAGATCGAGATAGACTTCGAGACGCTGAAGCCGTCGACACTGAGGGAGCTGGAGAGATACGTCATGACGTGTCTGAGGAAGAAACCTCGAAAGCCATACGGTTAGTACGGGCCTGAAGAAGTCAGGAAATATTTAGAGTGAAATCTGTTTCTAGCTCCTTTTTTTCTTAACATGTTCATGCTGTCTCTGTCTGATGAGTCTTTAATCAGAAGCAGTCTCTAAGCGGTGTCTTTTCTCCGATGCTTTTGAAGCCTTTTAACTACACAGAGAAACTGAGCTAAGCAGCAGCCATGCCATGTTCAACCATCAGCTGTAGATCTTAGATCGCATCATACTGGACCACCACCGTGTGATAATATTAGTTGTCTGTGTTTCAACAGCAAATAAAAAGAACAGTGCTGGCAAGTCCCGGGAAGAACTCGCTCTGGAGAAACAAATGGAGCTGGAGAGAAGGCTGATGGACGTCAGTGGTCAACTCAACTCTGGAAAGAAGCCTCCGAAGACCAAACGTAAGTCTTGCATTCTGCTTTACAGCGTTACAGGTGTTGAAAACAAGATGAAAGATAAATGATTTGTTCACACATAAACCTGTGACATTTGGACAGATATGGTTCCAAATGTCATTTAGTACCATGTGGTGAACTGTTGAAAATAATCTTTACTTGGTGTAGAAGTAGATTTTTTTTATCTAATGCACATTGCTAAAATCAAAGTGACTGGATGTGCATCATGTGTTGATGTTGTTGTTGTTTGTGTCTCCAGCAGAGAAACCTGCGACTGAAGCCCACACCCAGCCGTCACGCCTCAGCGCCAGTAGCTCCTCCTCAGACTCCTCTTCATCCTCCTCATCGTCCTCATCCTCAGACACAAGCGACTCAGACTCAGGCTGAGCCGCGGACTGCATCCTATAAAGGGGTCATGTGAGGGGGCCCTGGGAGTTTCTCTTCCCACCGAGTGGACTGAACTGTAGTTGAACTACTGACGACGGAGCCGCAGTGCGGATCGGACGAGACCAGCAGAAACTGGCCGACTCAACTTGTCAAACCAAGAAAGAGAGAGATGGGGCTTTCCCTGCGCTCAGCTCATTCATCCAGACCTGCACACAGAAAACTTGAGGATGGATGTGAATGGAGGAGACTCGGTGTGAAGTCCTGCCGTTCTCTGGAGAACCGGCCTCGCTGGGTGGAGCGAGGGACGCTCCATCTCCTGCAAATACAGGAGAAGATCATACGTTGGAGGGATAAGGGTGCTAGAGCCAGAATCTGTCTCACTTCTGGAGATAATTTCCCTTCTTACCGTGCTCCCTGTCTTTATGCTGTATAGATAAGGTGTACAGTTATATAAATATCTATTTTTCTTTTATAAAGAAGCATTTTATGGAGCTAATTTATTCCCTTATTCTGGGAAAGATTGAACTGGTGTGGGCGGAGATGTGTTTTAGTTTTTGTTTAGTTTTTTTTTCTGGAGTGATAAAGAGGGGAAATGTGTTTCTGTATGTCTGTGTGTGTGTGTGTGTGTGTGTGTGTGCGCGTGTGTTTGTATGAATGTGTCACGTATGTGTTTGCATGCACATGCGTGAGTGTGAGATCCGGCACCACAAGTGCAGCTTTGTGAAGTTTCCTCATCGTTTTGACGCAGGCGTTAAAAAATCGGTCTGCACACAGAAGCACCTTGGTTCAGTAGAATACAGAATGCATGCAATACAGAGGAGCTGACAAACATCTGCATACTCATGTACGACTTCCCTGCATCCCTGTGTCCTCATGTACCGTCAGAAAGGGTCGGCCACTGTACAGAAATGTGACATAGTTACAGTTTGTACGTAAATATTTCTGTTGCCATGTCGGCTGTCTTTTTCATCCATTTCTCTGTAAACATGTTGCTTTTTTTTTTCTTCTTGTGACCAATCTGCTAATAAATTGTGAGGACGTGTCTTGTCCACTCACCCGTGCCCAAATAACATCCTGGTTCTTTGGATTTCTTTTACATGTTCAGGTCTGTTTGACTTCAGTCTCAAAACACTCGACTCCAGGTCACAAAATAAGGTTTTGCTGCTTCTTATGTTCAGTATTTGATTCAAGTAGGAAATATTTGGGGTTAAATCCTCCACATCTGGTAAAACTGCTTTGTCTTTAAAACTATTTGGCCTTTGAGATCTGTGGCAGCTCAAAGTTTGATCTTGTGTATTAGCTGGATTTTGTTAAGTTTACTTATTTGTGTGATTAAAAACATTAGTAACACCAGGTTGGGAAGTTCTTACCAGCTGCTGTTGGTGAGATTTTCTCTTCTGTCGACACTTTGGCAGGTAAACAGTTTGTTTTTAAAGAAAGTCAGTGAACACATGGGAAGTGACTTATTGAATTTTGGGATCCAGTTAACAAAAGATGGTTTAATGTTGTGAGTATTAATGATGCACTGTTTGTTTTGGTGGTACTACTAAACAATTTTGTGATTTTTAGGTAAGGTGTGTTTCTTTTTGGTTTTTAAAATCGCCTGTGACTTGAGATTGGACTATTGTATGTCTGCAACTGATTATTTATTCAGGAGGAATTTGAAAGGAGACACTTTTCTCATAATCCTGAAAGGTTTTAAGTGGAAGTTTATGAAATATGCACAGATTAACTGTCAGGATTGTAGAAGTGTACATATTTTACAGTCTCGATCTTTGAGCATGTTTTTGTTTTTTCTTCAGTAACTTAGTTTTTTTTTTTTTTTTGTCCTGCGAAGATTTTTTAAGATAAAATCCTCCAGTTGTCAGTTTTACTCTTCTGAAGTTTGTCAGGAATCTAAATGCCTCTGTACTCGACTCCGTCATTTCATCTGAACATCTGTACATAAATAAACAGAGACATGTTCATCTTTTCACTGACTGTGGGGATATTTCATTTACAGATTATGTAATTTAAGGAGCTGGTACAACAGGAATTGTAAGATGAGCACTGCCTGAAAACAGAGACATCTACTGTTAGAAAAATGAATTTAAAAGTGTAGTTTACTCCTCCAAGTGGCAAATATTATGAGTTGCAGTCCAGGTATCAGTAGCCAAATTATCTTTTTGATTTCCTCTTGTCATTCTGGAAATACAGACCTCTATGTCTATGTTTTAACTCTTTATTTTAGTGAGTCTCTGGCCTTTTTGTCATGTGAATTCCACTCATTGATGTGTTTCTCTTTAATTGAACTGGCTTGCACATGGATTCAGTTATAATGCTGACAGGTGGAATAAAGATACAGAAATGTGCCGTATATACATAATTACTGTGCATTGTGGTGCAGTTCATGGTTGCATTTTCAGTATTTTACAGTTTGTACTTCTGCTTGTTTTCCTGCAGAAGGAGTTCGACTAAGATCATCTCATTGACAATCAGATGAAGCAAAGTTAGAAGTTACTAAGCAACAGCATCAGTTCTTGGCAACGGGACAGTAAGAGTGAAGTGGAAACAGAACTGGACTGTATATTCTGCAGCACATTAGTGACAGCCACATTACTGCCAAATATCTGCTTCATTTCTGAGTGAGATGTTTTTTCTTTAGTGCTGTTGTAGCCACCAACTGAACTAAACTGAACTAAATGCCAATAAAGACACTTTACACAATAAATCAAAGCCATAGCAAATATGTCTTTAAAAAAATACTTTAACATAATTGTGCCATGAAATCACGTTAATGATTTGCTATAATTGAAAGACACAAAACACTGAAACACGCAACGAGCTAAATGTATAAATACAAGCTGTATAAATCTTAGTAGATCATATATTAGATGAAATCTTAATACAACGCTTCCAATATTGTTTTTAACACTTTCACTCTTGTCATCATTTCGCCGTCTCTGTATTTAGTTTAACTTGTTAAATCGACGAGTTTAAAGCGAAGCTCCAACACGCCGAACGTCTGCAGTTTAACCTTTATTTGGTTTGTTTACAACAGTGCAAATGTGAGGGAAAAAGAGATTATCCGCCCTCTAGTGGTCACAGTGAGTAACTACAATTATTAGTACAAAGTTAGACCCAATAACAGATGATTACACTTCCGGTAAAAACGTTTAAGAAAATAAAACGAGATTAAGTTTCCAAACACTCGTGACTACTTCTTCTTCTTCTTCTTTTTTTTAAACATTAAACGTTTTATATACAATTTTCTCTGTCTTGGAGACTAGTAATGAACTAAACGTTTATATTTGATTGTTACTAGGTAAACCCAGCTAGTAATTTGTGATGAGAACACATAAGACGTCGACCTGGAGCTAATTTTGTGCTGCTTAAACCGGAAGTGGTGGCTAACGACTACAAATATAAACTCTACAGAGTCGCTGTCTTTACTATCTGAGTTGAGAAAATAATCTCTTCTTTTTTTTAGCTTCTGTTTTTCCTCTGCTGGAAAAGTGATGTTTGAATCTGACACAGACACAGAGTGTCGCTGTCTGGCGGACGAACTGAAAACTACAACAACAGAAATCCAACATGGCGGCTGCCACTGGGCTTATATCAAGGTTGACGCTGGTCACTGGTTAGTTTCTATTTTCATTTTCTTTCTTTAAAAAAAAAAAGCATACATCAAACAATGTGTTTACATAGATAAACATAAAAAGCTGTCTGGATGCTGTTTCTCTTTCCAAGCTGGTATTTGTACCGTTGTGCTAATTATCGCAGCTAAACGAGCTAACCGCTGTCTCAGT